TGGGTGCCCACCCTCGAAATGTCGGACAAGAAAATTTAATTTAATGTGCCCCCTCCGCGCCGGCATGGGAAACGGATAAAATATAACGGCGTGGGCGCGCGGCAGCCGAATTGAGGAGAGGGAGTGAGAGAGAGAGAGAGTGAGAGAGAGACCGACACACTTTCATATAACACCACGCGAGTGTGTTCCGTTATTAAATAATAATAATAATGTTACGTTTCTTCCGAAGACGATAGCGTCTGAAACGATACCCCCCCCAAAAAAAAAAAAAATGATCGGTAAGTAATTTTATATAATATTACTGTCAGATTTTTTATATTCCGTCGAGTATGCCGAACTTTGAACGAAGATATACTATTATGCAACGAGTTAGGAAAGCCCACACTGCGACCATTGCAAAGTTCCCGGTTTTAAATAATTGACAACTATGATTCCCGTATAGAATTTTTAGAAAGAATTAGTATAGTAAATGCTTATTATCTTATATGTAGAATCTTAAACATTTTTAAAATTCTTAAAGAATTTTAATATTATACGTCGGTGTCTATTTTAGATTCTGAGCGAAGCGATGATGTTTATTATTTTAAATATCTTTTATCTGTGATCAACTTTTCCACCAGGAATCTTGCTCCGATGTATCAAGTGTAGCTCAATAACTAAAAAGAAAATATAATCTATTTGATACTTTAGAGAGGTCATGTTTTAATTTTTCAAGTGGTTTCCATAAAAATCGAGAAAAAGGGGAAATTCACGATTTTATTATTTTCAATTTTGTTTTTTTGTTGTGATTTTATTAAACATACTCACAGAGTCTTGAAATTCGGATAGAACTCTTATATTTGCTCTTTATAGACGTTGTCAGATTTTCAAAATAATTTAGCGATTTGTGAGCTATTTATAGACATTTAAATTTTGCAAATTTTTACGTAATTTTTATTCGATAGACTAAACAGAAATTTTGGAAAATTAAACAGAAGGTTCATTATAAGTCGAAAATTGTGGTAAAAAAAAAAAATTAATAAATACAATTTTTTTACGGAAATCGTAAATATCATGGCCTTTCAAAACATGTATAACCGAACTCCACTCAGAATCGTTTTTCGTTAGCAATGATTATTCGCTGCGTATAGGTATACATTAATTTCCCTTCTGAATACTACCTTCCCAACTTATCACCTACAACAGTGGCTACACCCACGTGTGAGGTATATCCGTCGACCGTTTTTTACAATGATATTTATGTTTTAGATTCCCAGGTAGACGTATCTACATCTTAGAAATAACTTTCACGCTGGTCGTAACGCCCGTGTAAACTCTAAGAATCTATTTTCATCGGAACTTATATGTATATATATTGTATTAATTATTGAGTGCAATAAATTTTAACAACTGTCAAACATGTTCTTTTTTAATAAAAATAATTGTAAGTGTCGACCAGTAAAAATCGGCACGCAACAAACGAAAGGGGATATGGGTATGGGGTATGGATATAAAGCCCCCTCTTAGTATGTAAATGTTAAATTTTTTTAATTAACTTTTATTAAAAATACATTTTTAATGCAAATAAAAAAAAAAAAAAATGTTTTTTCCATCCGAATATCCTTCTTATCGGATTCCTATATTCACCCCTGCATGTTAGCCTATTATAGAATAGATTTCATCATTTATTATCGGTTATAATTATTAATATCAACTGATATTAAGACAATAACAATAGAATGTAATATAATGCGTCCGCGGACGCGTTTCGACCCAAAACCATATTATTATTATTGTTATTAGACAAGTTCTAGCAAAAAAAAAAAATCGACTGCGCTTGTTTTTGCTCATTCCTCATATTATGTACTCGTATAATCGTGTAATCGTACATTACTCGTATAATAAACGATATCTCCTCTGAATAGTTTACCCGTTTAATTAAATCTGTACCTATTTGAAACGTCTCGGGGCTTAAAAAAAAAATAATAATATTTCTAGTATAATTTAATATTATCCGACTAGTAAACATCAGCTATGTTTTGTTAACAGTATGATAACAGAATTTTTTTAATGACCAGCTGTATGTAAATCGATTATGTAATAATATTGTGAAAATTGAAATGATGAGGTAAATATTAGTTAAAATACAGCGTAATAATATACAGTATAATATGTGTATGTTCGCGCTCATCTTTTTTTTAAATACAAAATAAAAACATCCGAAAGAATATTAATAAATCTATTCTATACAGGGTGTAACTGGACTATTTGTCAAATGTAATAATTTTTTTCTAATGTTTAATTTCAAGTTTTTTTTTTATTAAATTACTATGACATCTTTGCACTATAATTACTGTATTTTATATTTAATTACATTTTGTTACAACTAAAAAAAAAAAAATTGTTTTTATAATCCAATAGATGACCATTTTATAAATTTATTTTTACAAACATTTTGGTATTTAAATCTATTGTATAGGTAACGTCATTAATTTCTAAACAATTTTAAAAGTTTATTTCTTATATTAATCAGTTACATCAATTTGTCCATTTTGAATTATTTTTTTTCCAACAAATAATGTATTATCACGAATATCAATAATTATGATGTTATCATAAAACCACGTGCACGATATAGATAAGATAAGGTGACTACTTGTACATACTTGTGTCTCAAATTTTTTGGGAAACCACCAGGTAGCGCAACATTTCGCCCGAAGGTCGGTTTTAGTGTTATGAATACATGGGTTTTATATAGAATAGTAATAATTTATATTCATTTCTGTTATATTTTAGTTTTACCCAGTCGGGTATCAATAATTATGATACTATTATATGACTACATTAGACACATTGATACACATAACGTATGTAGTGAACAGTGATTAAAGTTGATTAAAGTTGCAGAAATTATAAATGCTGCCAAAAAAAAAAAAATAAAAAAGAAGCAGAAGGAAATGAAATTGTAGTTGTCAAACCAAAAATATCTTTACAAAAAGCTTTTTTTCTGTTCTATATTGTATTCATTTTAAGCTTCTTTCCTTTTGTCCTCCTTTTATATCATAAGCACCCTAAAACTAACAACTAAGCGTATAATGGATATTTTTCTACTGTTAGTTTCGGGAAACTTTGAAGTAAATTGTTTAAATTAAAAAATTGATTATTCATAAAATAAGATACACATTATTTGTGTAATATGAATCCGATAGCATTTTTTTCCCCGAAATATTGTACTTAGTGTGTACCGAATGACGATAACGCGTGTTCTACCTCCAAAAATATGTTCGTACTGGCCTAGTTTTGCGTGTTCCATCTTAGAACTTGCCACTTGATACTCATTATTTGCACTGACGGTATAATTGACACACAAATTATTTGAGGGTATTTCGGTTTAAGATTTCTATTGTGTTAAGATAATATTAATAATACCGGATAGTAAAAATTATTTTTGATATAATATTCCGAATGAGTATTGTATACTGTATAGTACGGGGTCTGTTCAAAAAGTTCCGGGATTATTTGGATTGCGCGCCAACGGAGGGTAATCCAGAACCGTAGAATTGATGTCACTAGATTCTGTGACTTCTCTTGAGTACATCTGTGTTTGTAGATTCTCTATAACTTTCTTTGTTTTGATGTAACCGATATTTTCTTAAAATATTTTTTTCGCATTTGGCGATTTTGTATTAAATCCAAAAGAAGGGGTATTTTTGGGGGGACGAGGGAGTTAAGTGGAGAAGATCTTTCTTTCATTTAGATAATAATATAACGATACAGACAATGAATATTATTATGAAAAATTGTCAAAAAGTTGTCATTTACCGTAGGTACTAAAAAAATTCCTGATAAACCTGAACTTGGATCTTTCTCCACATTCTCGAGAAAAACTTTCACTCGGCACATCTGCAGTATTTCAGTTACAATTTGTTAGCAAAAGTCATGTGAAATGTTGCACTCCTCTATATCAAACATGATTATAATAAAAAAAATGAAAGGAAAAGTCCTCTCCTATCCCTCCCCCCCAAAAATGCTCTTCTTTTGGATTTAATACAAAATCGCCCAAATGTGTAAAAAATGTTTTTTAAAAACATTAATGAAATCAAAATAAAGAAAGTTATAGATAATCTACAAAAGCAGATGTGCTTAGGAAAAGTCACAGAAGACAGTGCTATTGCACTTATCAATCTACAATCAATCACTTATCTATTGCTCTGTTGGCGCGCTATCGAAGTAGTCCCGGAACTTGTTGAACAAACTTCTTATATAGACTACAATTAATATTATAATATTAATGAATCGTGAAAAATATGGAAAAAGTTCGTGAATTACAAATTTAATTAGAATTGTTTTTAAATTATTATGTCCTGTTTAATAGAAATTTAATAACTAAGATAAACATTTTTATTGAAGTAGCTGGTGAATATTTGCACGATGAAGTAAATATTTCAACTATATTTTATATACGTAACATTATAATATATATATACTTGATACATTATTAATATATACAATTCAAATTAATTAGTGTTCAAAAAACACTTCAGAATACATAGACATTCTTTTTAAATAAGAATAAATTAATTTAAAACATTATCTTATTATTCTTGTTCTAAACAATCAATTATTATAGATAGAAATGCTAAGCTGCATTTTTTGTATTTTTTAAGGTTATATAGTGGGCTAAACACTTGAATACATAAAATCGATGAATCCCAATGAAAGAGCTTTAGTTAATAATTCAATTTTTTTTTTTAATAAGTATAGATAAATTTTACTTATATATATATATATAGGTATATATATATATGTAGGTATATATATGATATCATGATATTTTGATACAAATGCTTACATACACGTAAAGTTGTTTAAATGAAAATACATAAATCTATTCATATATACATAACAACCATACTATTATTACTATTATTTTTTCAAACATATTTCAAAACATCAATAACTGAAAAAAACATTTTTTTTTTATTTATATTATTTTCCATTTTATTCTATAGAAAACCAATATGGATACATTAATGAGAGTATCGCCATCTAGGTTAATGATTGTATTTTGTTATTATTATTTATTATTGTTTTATATTGATAAAATTAAACACTACAATCTGACATTGTGTTTCCAGAAGTATTGGTTCTAAATTGTTGTTTAACCAAGCATTTTACTACGTAACACCCAAACAATGGAATTCGTCTAAGGCGATATTTCAACCAAAAACACCAAATGCAATTATTTGGAAAACTACTGTGAGCAGATCTAAAATGTTCAGTGTTCGGATGCCACCAAAATTCAACTCTTGTCGTTTTAATATTCAACCAAACCTAAAAAATTTCCATGTGAACAATGGAAATAAAGCGGAATGCGATATTATTAACATTGGTTTAACCAACAGGACATATGAATCCGGTAATATTAATAATACATCAACGAATCAAGTTCGAGAAAAAATATTACAACCAGAGCAGATTACTATTCCAAGTGCGAAAAAAATTGTTGGTCCCAAATCGGAACTAAACTCGGCACCATTTTCAAAAAAGTCAGACGTAAAAGAAAATAAAAATAACGATTCGCTGGCAATATCACGAATAATTATAAGGAAAAACGGTGAACAATTACGAAAAACAAAAGATGAGAAAACGTCGAGTAATGACAATTCACAACTAGGTGAATTCTTAAATAAAGGCAAAGTGTCGGCCGACCCGTGTAATAAGACAACAAAACCGTCAAAACCAAATGATTGTAGTTCGACCGCCGAACAGAAAAAAGCACCATCAAAAGGTGTTGCAGACAGCATTTGTTATAACCTAAATGACGTACCGCCACCGAAAACATTAGAAAAGGCTATTAGCCCGGTTAGCGCGTGCAATAAGAACTCACAAGAGTCGGCAACACAGAAACCAAAAACGCTCTGCATTGAAAAAAAGAACAATTCAACAGTGGATGCTATGTCTGGAACTAAAAAAACAGAAAATATAAACGATAACTTGGTAGCACAAAAACCATGTGATATTATTAACATTAGTCCAGGCAATAGGACTCATAAATCCGGTGTTCTTAATAATACATCAAAGAATCAAGCTCGAGAAAAACTATTAAAACCAGAGCAAATTACTCTTCCGAGTGTGAAAAATACCGTTTGCCCCGAATTGGAACTAAAATCAACAAAATGTCCAAAATGGTCCGACGTAAAAGATAACAAAAAAAAATAATTCGCCGGCAATATCACGGGCTATTATAAATAAATCAAATAGCAACAAAGATAAAACCATGTCAAGTAAAACCGGTGAATTGTCTGGATCAACAAAAACTAAAAAAACAAACGATAGGTAACTTGGTAGCAGAAAAACTATGAATGAATAGTTTCTTCAGAAAATGTACTGATTGGATTTATCCGAAAAAAATCATTTTAACCCGTCGTTGGTGACGTTATATTTATAACACTGTTTTTGACGTGTGAGCCAAACGCTCACATATTAAAATAAATCGTATTATTGATAGAAATAAATACAAATACATTTTTTTAATCTCATAAGTGATGAGTTGTATTGAAAATTATGAACATATTAATTATTTAATTATTTAATTATTAATTGTTTGCTGCATAGTTAGTAAATACGTAAAGATATAATAACGTGATAATATATTTTACGTGGTCAATAACGTACGTGCGTATGAAGATATATGATGGCACTGACAAATGTCAATATTAAACGGTTAAGGCATGATAATAAAATAATCTAAGTCTAAAATAACCGAAAATAATAACAGTATAAATCATAAAATACACGGAAATGCGATCAGGGACAACGCTAACATAATACACGATATTGTCGACATTGGACTTAGATATTGTTGTTAGTTTATTTATTACTCCTAATGTTTATCCGTATTTATATTAGTTAACAACTCAATGAAAAAAAGTATAAAATATAGGGTGTCCCACCGTATTCGATGGATTTCTCTAGCGCTGTTAATATTAATTTTTGTCTTGGAGTTTTTTTTTTTAAGAATAAATTAGTTAGACCTACATTATAAAAAGATTATTTATCTGGTATTTCCTTAATTAAAATAGAAATGTCAAAAGGGTCAGTTGGATTGAGAAAAATTATAATTATTTTCAAGAATATCATCAGAAATATTTTTACCGACATTAGAATAATAATTATTTAGTTTATTTAAAATATCAATTTTATCAGTTATAAGAAAATTAGTTGAATTCCTTGAATTCAATACAATAAATAGGAGTTTCTTTTTTTTTGGTTGAATAAGTGACATCATTTATTAGTTTCCATGTATTTTTAATATTATCTTTAGATAAAAAAAAAAAAGATTATTGTAATATGAACAACGAGCTTTTTTTTTATTAATGAATATAATACATTTCTGTATCTAATATAGTGTTTTATTTTTTTTAGTTTAAGATCAAAGGGAGCTTTTTGTGTTTTACGGGATAATTTATGTCTAGTATAAATTGAGACAAGAAGTGCGATAGTTATGCAAGCTTTAAGTTTTTTTGGATTTTTTAAATTTATTTTCAGAGAAAGTTAATTCCTTAGAGGCACTTTTAATACGCTCATTTAATTTATCATTAAATTTATTTACTAAAATATTCTCATCATAATCAAGTAGGAAATTATATCAATTAAAAATTAAAAGTAATTTATTTAGATGGATGAAATTAATGAGTATCTATGTTAGTAAGATTAGGTGCAATATTATTGGTACCACATTTATTGACAAAATCGTTATTATCGATACAAATAGCTAAGCTATAGTATATAGCTAATATCTATATTACAGATCACTTCTATAATATCGGTTTTAATAATATAAGAGGACAAGTTAGAAATGTCGTTTGTAAAAATATGGTCAATGCACAAACTTGAAACATCAGTTACACTCGTATAAATGTATCAATACACGATATAAAATTATATGAAGTTAGGATATTTAGGTAGTCAAAAACAAAGTTTGAGTTGTCTAATATATTAATATTCATATCACCACAAATAATAACTTTATAATCATCCAAAATGTTAGACAAGTAACAATCTAAACCAACTAAAACAATCTATAGTTAGAGAGGGAGATCTGTACAAACCAGTAACTTTATGTGCCTGTTGGTTATAATTAAAAACTAATTCTAAAGAATTACATCCAGTATATTAAGTTTAAATTAATAAGAATAAAATCATTTACACATATTGAGACACCATCCGCTTTATTTAAAGTTTCTAAAGAATGAAAACTGTTATAGCTACAAATATTCAAGTCAACATTAATGTTATATAACATTATTATCATAACTTGATCCTGGATTTGGTTTATTCTAACGTAAATAATTTGATAGTTGTCTGCTGCTGAGCCTGTTGTTCTCTTAGATTCTTAACATTCTGCACTGAATATTATTATTATTTTAAATGAAATTGCTTATTCTAACGTTTGATTATAATTAACAAGCTATCTAACCCGTTATGATTGAGAGTTAACATTTTCTGGTTTTGACCTTAATTCTGTCATCAATGTACTTATTGATACACTTCACTATACCGTACTTACTTGCATTCCCAAGTCTCGGTTATCTAAGCCCTGCTCTACTGTCTGAGTCTCGAGTGGATTAAAAGACCTTATCTTCAGAAAAAAAAGAGACCATGTTATTTTTAAATCGACTAGTAATTTGGTGTGTTATCGTGAATTTTTTTTACTCCGCGCTCCGGGTCCAAAATAAGTTCATTTCGAAAAAAAGGTTTCAAGCGTTTTGCGAGCGATTCCGATAAATCACTTGTTAAGGAACCAAACAGTTTTTGGAAGTTTGGTAGGGAGCACCAGTCTGTTAACAGTATTCCAAAAACTGTGCACTAAAACGATGTCTCTAATTCTAATGAATTTCACTCTGCTAACTTATTTTCTGCCTTTTTCAATTCCGTTTGTTCACTGAAACGAAAGGATGTAGATTTTTTAATTCTAAAAATCGTTTTCGCTTTACCGGATTATTGTTCATACGAATAATCGATCATCAAAAAGAAAATAATCAAACAGCCCTTCATACTTATACCCAGTGGCAGCGCGAAGGAGGTAAATTTGAATCACGTAGTTCGCAAAAAATCGTGTAGGTGGGTTGTGGATGCTTGGGTGTTCAGCTAGAAATATAGCAACAATTGTTATGTTTTTACGAAACATAGGCCATTAAAAGAATTTTAGACTGCGAAAATTTGATAAATTTTATTAAAGACTCCCAAAGAAACTTAGTTTTAATACCTAGTTTATAGATTTTGGGGTATTTTTGGTATGGATGGAAAATTAAATGGATGATTCAAGGTAAATATACTTCGTGCCGCCACGATACTTCGTATACCTATAGGTGTCCATATGCGATACGGTTTGTAGAAAGGTGGTAAACCAGAACCCTCCGGATACAAAAACCTCCGAGAAACCGTATTGGGTACGGCCACTGTATATAACAGAATTTGCCGTAGTTTTAAAATGATCGCGACAAATATATGTCTCCGAAAGACTCGTAGTTTTGCAGTAAAACCGAGCATTAGGACCGTGGATTATAATAATATATAGAGTAAAATAAACTCTGTGCCAAACGGACGATATATTATTTTGGATATAGGATATAAAAAAACCGCCAAAAGAATGAGCAAAAAAAAAAAAAAAAAACAATCGTTTCGTTCGGGTCGATTACCGTCCGCCCGTTCCGATCGGGTCGGAATCCGATGGATCGATATATTATAAAGAGAGTATTATATATTATAATATTATTCGAATATCTAAAACCCGGGTGTTTTTGCGCGTATAATAGGTACGAACTGCACGATGACAATAATTTCTCGGGTATATTACAATATAATGCTAGCTATACACATAATACCATATGCGTAATTGTAGAGGGAGAAAGAGAGAGATATAATAATAATTATTATTGTTATTTCGAACAGTACGGTAAAAAACGAGCGGATGGATAAAAAATTATACAGGAATATAAATTATATTTTACGATATAATAACGAAAAACCGGCGTAATCCGACTGTGTTTAACTGCCTGATATACACATATTATTATTACTGTAACGATATTTACATTACGACGTGTCTATCAGCTATGTAAATACAGGGTGTTTGTTTTTTTATCGTTGGACGGTCATTATTTTAAAATTTATTTGAAACTTTTTTTTTCCCGATAATCTAGGAAATAAACAGCTCTAAAATGCTACATTTCCATTATTTTTTACTACCCTTATTTTTGGGAGTGAAACGAAAACTTATTTATGATTTTAAAATGGTATGGCAACCTATATTAACAAGATAACCTAACCTAACCTAACATGTAGGTTGTCAGTAGAAAATTATAAATAGATAGTCGTTTCATACCCAAAATTAGTATGATAAAAAATAACGGAAATATAGCATTTTTAGAGCTGATTGTTTCATAAATTATCAAAAAAATAAATTCTTAAAAAAGCCAATCTTTTTTTAAATAATGAGTGTTAAAAGATAACCCTGTATAAATGCATAATAATATTATTATTTTTAACATCGGGGGTTTTTTTTTTGTACACCATGGAAGATAGCGGTAGTTGTGGTTTAATGCTAATACCGCATACTGTGCAGCTATTGCTATTATAATATACCGTACGCGTGTTAACAAAACATACACCGTCTCGGCACTGCATGGAAAATAAGCTAATTTCATTGGTTAATTCACGTAGTCACTATTTTTTTTTATGTAGGTACCATATAATTGTCAAAGCTAGGAAAGTTAACTAGTTTAAACTATGTTATCTAAAACTAAATAAATAAAAAAACGCACGATGGGTACTGTCACTGTTGTTGGTGAGAAGTCTGGAATGTAGCATATAGAGGAGAAATTAATTTGTATCTATAATAATGACAAACCATTGCTAACGAAAAAACGATTCTGAGCGGAGTAATGACGAATTAGTGAAAATACGCCGTTACAATTATATAGACCTCATTTCTGGCAATTTTTCGTTTTTGTCTCGTTTTATCTAAACCCGTTGTGGTTTTTTATCGACCAAGTTTTAAGTTTACACTTATAGAACACTTACTTCTTTGGGACAGTATTAGGTTTGGATAGACATAAATGTTTTACATCTTTTATTTAAACGAATTTTTTGTCGTTTATAGGCGTTCCTTTTTTTTTATATCGATAAGAATCCTGATTTCTGAATAAAAAAAAAGGGCGGGAAATCGCCTATTTGAATTAGCCAATGAAGTTTGGATATTTTATACATAGTGTCGAGACCATGTACGTTTTGGTTACATGTATACAGAACCGCGTTAAATGATTGTTATTATATTCATATTATTTTACACACTTACGAGCTGCAACACATGTGAAAGAAAAGAATAATAATTGCTTGCTTATATTATTATTATTAAATTTCCTGCGTGCGAAAACGTTCGTTAAAATAACGTTTCGGAAAATTGCCACGGGTATATATTATTATTATTGTAAAACTCCGCTCCCGTATATTGACTGACCACTTCCCCGATTCCTCCTCTTTCCTGCAGCCGTAAGTTTCGGGATTTGTGTACGCGTGCGTATACATTGGCGGTGGCGGCAGCGGAGCAGGCTTGTCGGCGAAAAACATTTTAGCCGGACCGCATACAATACACATTCAATTATAATGTTACTTTTTTTTTTTCTGAGATTCTGAGCGAAACAAATATAGCTTATTAATATAATGGTTTTTTTTCATGTCTATTTTTGTTCTATGTTTATTTTTATTCTAGGGTTCGCGAGTTCGAACCCGTGTTTCAATCGCTTGCTCGGACTATTTAAATTGCAAAATATCCCTCGATTTGTTGAGCGAACTTTCCTACCAAAAACCTTGCTTCAATGTATTAAGTGCAGCTTATTTTCTGAAAGAAAATTTTATCTCCATGATAACATGAGGAGGTTATTATTTTGATTTTCTAAGAGTTTTATAAATGGTAAAAATCGTGAAAAACGGAGAAAAAATGGGAAAATGTACAACATATGAACAGTGTAGTAAAATATTACGATTTTTTTTCTGTAGACAACTCTACCAGCAAGTTTGCTAAAATTTACATTAATAGCACGTTTTCTAAAAGGAAATCTGACTGGGGAGATACTTTAGAGGAGTTATTTTTCGGTTTTCACAACAAATATGTAAAGCCAAGAAAAATCATGAAAAAACCAGGAAAAACGCAGGAAAACGGGAAAATCGGTACAAATTTATACAAATATAATTGAAGAAAATATATAATATCTATTTAATTATTTTACCTTAATATGACATATATATTGTTAACAAAGGATCACTAATAACTGAATTGTGCTCAGAAATGTTTTTTATTAACAATGGTTTATCGTTGTTTACATACATTAAATTACTTATAATAATGGTTTCACCCGATTCCATTATCCTAGGACGTCTTTTTTTATTTGTTTCTTAATGTCAAAATATATGATCATTTTTCATATTTGAGTATGAAGGTGGTCACTATGAATATTTATAAGAATTTGATGTTTAAATTATGACTGAAATCGTACAAATCTTCAATATTTTTACAGACAGTCTTTACATTCACTTATATGCAGACTATACAAGGTCTGACCAATAAGTAATGATACTAATTCAATAAAATACGTATATTTAAATATTAAGATACATTGATGTAATCCCCTTCAAAGTACTCCCCTCCCACCCCTATACACTAGTTTCAACGTTTTTTCCAGCTCTCATAACATTTCTGGAAGGCTTCGACTGGAATGTCCTGAAGTACCCTCGTCACGGCGTTCTGGATGTCAGTTATGGACTAAAAATGCGTTCCTATCACGGCCAATTTTATTTGAGGGAACAAAAAGAAGTCACAGGGTGACATATCCGGAGAATAGGGCGCTTGTGGCAACACTGCGATGTTCTTAGAGGTCAAAAATCGCGACACACTGAAGGCACGCCGAAAGGTTCTTCGGTACCATCTTTGCACACAGCTTTTTCATGGACAAATCATCAGTTAAAATTTTTCTGACGGTTTCTCGTTTCAAATTAAGTTCATCAGCCAACATTCGAACGGTTAAACGCCGATCTTGATGCACGAGAGTGCGCACACGCTGAAGATTGTTGTCAGTTCGAGCTTCAACCGGTCTCCCACTTCGCGATTCATCCCCGACGCTTTCACGACCATTTTTAAAATTTTTATGCCATCGAAACACCTGAGCACGACTCTCATCTTCATCACCGAACAATTTCACCAATTTATCGTACGTTTCCATAACGGAATCGCCGAGTTTAACGCAAAATTTAATCGCGTACCGCTGATATTTGAGACACGCCTTACAAACACGTTGTCGAAATCATAACACAACTGGAAAACTAATTATTATACGAAAATCGCGAGCACATGTATCGATAGAGGAGGGATGAGAGATTAACCGAACGAAGTTTCAGATTCGCAGTGTTACCACAAGCGTGGAAAAAAAAACAGTCTCATTACTTATTGGTCAAACCTCGTATGATCACTGTTATTTTTTATTTTGCCGCATAAAAATAAGACACAAGCTTCAAGGATTATAACATAAGTTATTATACCTACTTAATAATTAATAAAACGTAAAAAAATAAAACGTCAATTGTAATGTTGTTTTTTAATTTGAATTCAATTTTATTCCAAAATTCATTGTACATATCGTAAAATATTTATCGCCCCCACAACGAATAAGGTCTTATAAAATTTTTTCCAACGTTTTAAGGCGAATAAAATAAACATTCAAATTTAATTTCTCATTTATTTTTTTAACATAAGTGATTAGAAATGTTGGCCTTTGTAGAATGCATTTAAAACGTTTAATTCATTATACTATTTTCTGGTGGAGGGAATCACTGATATTACCTATATATTTAACATAAATAAATATTTTCCCATTGATCATACATTTATTTAATTTTAACTACCCAACTTTCACTGTCAGAAAAAATCATTTTTTGTTTTACTTACGTAATCTAATCTAACATATGTTGTACAAAATTCATAAGCTGTCCTAGAATAATGAGGACAGGTGCAGTCACTGATATAGGTAATTTAATATATATTTTTAAGCAACGATTAACCTTATCTAAACTCGGAGTCTGGGGGAGTCCAGAGGATCTGGATCTCTCCCCCCCGTAAAACTACCACTGATACTATTACTTAAGTTTCATTTTAACAAAAAGAATTATATTTTCAATGTTTTTATAAAAAAATGTTACTTAAAAAATAAATTGATATAATATCTATATTTTATGATCTCTCATTTTTTTTTTTTTTTTTTTATAGATGACCGGTTTAAAAAACAAAGTAGCATTTACTCACGAAAAAGGTCGTGAGTTAGACTTTCGACCTTTTTCGTGGGTGACGCTGCCGGTTAGGTTAATATGCCTGCCGGTTACGTTAGTGTATATTCATAGTATCTGTACTACTGCAATTGTTTTCGTTAGAAGTCAATATTGCTGCACATTATTAAAATAAATTATATCCAATTTCTTCGGACGAATAGAAATACGATCTCTTTCGTGGGCGATGCAGAAACATATTCTTTATCAGACAGTTGTATTAACTCAAAATTGATAAAAATCGAATTTCCGCCTACAGTTGGCGATATTATAATACTCACCAAAAACGTGCACGCATGTATTATTATGGAATAATATGGAAATATATTATTATTTTATGTCCGTGTGCAGCACACATTACGGCGACGTGTCCTGCCGAATTACCGGCCGACCAACCGACAACGCGACGTGTGGTGCGCGGACCGCAATACGGAATTGGATATCCGTAAATTAACATCAGCTGTTCATTAATATTATTGCCGAGTCCCGTATAACTTATCGACGTAAACGCCCTTTATGCGTATACCTAATAATATAATAATAATTATATGCTCTCAGCAATCATATATCACATGTACTCAGGTGTTCCCGAAGCATTAAACACGGTTTTAAACGTCCGTCGATGAACCCTCTGTAAACTCGCGCGTATACGCATCCACAATGGCAATAGCTGCAGTTTCAATACAATCTGTAGTAAAACCGCGTTTTACTTATTATATTTGTTTTAATAGATTGCAGCCGTATAATATTAAACGTAAGGTAATTGGTAACGAGTTTTGTTCTACTAAACTTTTTTTCAAAAGTAGAATATTCCCCGACAGTGCTTCAAATTTTTCGAGTTTTTTCGGTCGTTATAAATAAAACTGTGTTGCTTTTGTATAATTTCTCATCGAATTTTAAACATGGTTTCATATAAGTTATTCTTATGGTTGTATACAAATACCGCCCTCTTATTTTAAATTCTGAGCGCATGCAAAGAATATATTGGTTTTATACTATGATGTATTTTATTTTCTGTCTGTAAACAAAATTAAAAAAAAAAAAGAGCTGATACTGGGGATGAGTGCTGCCATTTTTGTGAGAAGTGGGAAAGGAGGGGACACATAAGGTTATTTCATTTATATCTATAAGTAACGATAAACCATTGTTGACGAAATACGATTCTGAGTGCAGTTCGGTAATACATAATTTGAAGTGCCGTATTTTTTCTAAACTTAACTTTCCTACGTTTTTTCCCGATTATTATGAAAACTATTTCGAAAATCAAAAAAATAAAAACGAACTGCATCATTAAAAACAAGATTAATAATTCAACAAAAAAAATCTCTTGTTGTTTTTCAATTGGAGCCATATTTGTGTTAGAAAACGTGATAGGTACTTATTTAAAATAACGAAATCGTGAAAAAATCGTATTTTTTTTCTGGTTTATCATTTTTATTTTAAATACCGTTTCGAAAATCGAAAAATGACCTATCTATTTACCAAGTAGGTAAAATTGAATTTTATAAAAGGCACTTATACTCAGAGCAAGTTTTCTAGATTAAAGTGGTTTACAGTATATATATAAAAAAAATAAAGTAAACAAATTTAAAAAAATTTAAATCGTTCGATGAATTTAAAAATTTCACCACTTCTAGGTAAGTCTAATACAATATTTATTAGCATGTTTCAAGTCTCTACGTGTATTTGTAACTGAATTTTAGCAAAAAACTCCCAAAAATTAAAATTCCCTATAAGCTCAAAAGTAGCTTATAAGTATTGGCGATGATACAGTAAGAAAGTAAATCAAAAAGGCAACAAAAAAAGTATTTAGTGATTTTTCAGTTAAAGCATTTTTTCAAACATGGTAAAATTTTAAACTTTTATAAAACTTCGCTCTGAATCGTTTTTCGTTAACAATGATTTATCGTTACGTACGGATATAAATTAAATTACCCTACGTATGTTATTTTTTTTCTCCATCCACGTGTTGTGTATATTGTATAAACCAGTGTTTCCCAACTGGTGTTCCGCAGAACCCAAAGGTTCCGCGAATCAACACAAAGGGTACCGCGGGGCATTCGGGAAAAATTAAATTAGTAAGTAAACAACATTTTCGAATTAATTATTTATTATGATTAAAATTAAAGAGGAGTACTAGAATGCCATGGAAAGTGATTTTAAAAAATTAATAATTATCCGTAAAAGGTTGTTACCGTTTTATTGTCATTATCGACAAAAAAAAAAAAAACAAAAACCGAAGAATAAGTTTCGAAATCAATTTAATGTTGCTCCGGACCTACAAATTCAAATTTCAGGAATATCTTCGGATTTGATTAAAATAATGAAGAAAACTACGGAATGATTCTAATTTTCTCATTAAACCTATCTTTCTGATGATGAGAGATTAATATTACTTTCTAAGCTCTGATATAATGCACATTAATAATATTGTAATATGTCTAGATATTACCAAAGTAAAACTTTAAAAATCGTCCTTGCTGTTATTATTTTTTTTTATTAATGACACTCATTTTTTCCAGAATTCTCGGATTGCCCACTCATTTGAGTATACAAAAAATATGTCTGCATTATGTGGTTATGAAAAAAATTCAAGTTTCTGAAAAGGTTCCGTGAGTAAAATGAATCTGGAAACGCTGGCATAAACTATAATTTATAAATCTACATAAGGCGGTAATGGGTCACGACTACGCAAAATGACATAATTTTTCATAGGTCGAGTCGTAGACACCGCTGCCATGTCGCCGTCGCGTAGTTTGATTAGAATTTTCGGTAACTCTAAAATGCGATTTAGTATACCTATCCAATTTTCGTATGACAAAAAATGTATTATAGGCATCGTTTTCGTACGGAATAATACCGACATGGTGTTTTATACAATACGTAATACTTTACCATGTATAAGTAATATGCGTTTCACGTGAATCGTGAAAGTTTAAGCGAAAACGGTTTTTGAAAATTTGCTACCGACAATCGACCGACCTATAGGAAACAAATATGCCTGCACTTTTTCCCCTTTCTGCTGTTAATCTACCGAGCTTTGTCGGGAAAATATATTACGTGCATATTAAACATCATCGTTTATCCCACAGCAGGTTGTATTATTGTAGAGTGTTGTGACACGAGTACAAGAAAATAAAACTTTTCATCGGTTCTCTTAATTGTATTCGGCATACTTTTTAAGTCACATTAATCTATCGGGTTCAAATCAACTTATTACGGTTCAGCGTTATTAATTACGGTATTTTGTTCTGACATCCGCAGACATTTTAAAAAATAAATAAATTTAACATTATTGTTTCGCGAAAACTGATGATTTTACGGGGTGGCTTGTTACGCGCTTGTTAGCTGGCCCACGGAGTGGACTGGTCGACGTGAAATATTCCGGTTATTTTATTTAATCACCCAGACGGTTTTGGTTCATACATGTTTAGCTTTTTCGGGACCGTTCTTTATGTGTATTATTCGCTAAAAGGTATTTTCGGTTATTTTTCAGAGCATTTTTCGATAGTGTTTATGGCAAATAAATATTCGAACATTGCATAACTAGAAAACATATTATGCTTGGACGATGCATCCAGCCGGGAAGATATATACAATGCAGTTGAGTAAAAGCGTGAGAACATTATTACTACGATTACTCATATCTATACAACTATTTTAGATTCTGAGCGTAGCGATGAACGTGTATTGGTTTTACTATGATGTGTGTTTGTGTTCTGAATATTAACAACTTTTTGACCAGAAATCCTGCTCCAATCGAAAAATTACAAGAGAGAGAGCCTTTTTTGTGTGCATTTTTGGTCTAGTTGGTGAGTAAGAAAGTTTATATTCAATTTCCCGCGTAGTTTTCTTAATAATTCAGTAAAAAAAACGTAAAAAGAACGGAAAAGTACTTACATAA